TGGGTTACAAAAATCGGGTCTCTCGATGGGCAATCGGGAAGCCAGATCTCATACTCTGAGATTCAGCATCCCTGCCAAGCCCAGAAATGGAGGAGCGACTCAAGCCAAATGGGGTTCTAAGAAAGATAATAGAGGAGGTGGTGAGGGGACTCTGGTGTACAAGGTTTGTACCCAATACAGGTGGGTTAGTCTCTAGCCAAAGTGCTACATTAACTATTACAGCTTAGTTAGTGTTTAGGACGTGCTACTTAACTATTACAGGCTTCTAAGTTCTGATAACTGGTATCATGGTCTCATCTCTGGCAAGGACATTGGCCATCAGAACTGCTGAATGTTATTTGGCTGATTTGTGATTCACTTAGAAGGGTATTAGTTATGGTAAGCTCTCTTATGGTTAAGTTTACAAGGTGTTCCATATTTTGTCTTGTTCTAAATACTTAAAATATCCACCAAATGTAAAGTAATGCCACAAAACATGTTTCTTTTAAAAACTGGCAGAAGATAAATGATCATGTGTGCTGGATATGAGCTCTGACATAACTGGCAGGCCCTAGGACATAGCCTAGTTTGTCTTGAGGCACTGAAGGTGCCCAGGGATTGATGAGAATAGATGGTTCTGGGTTGCTTTACACTTCTAAAGTTCCCATCCAGGGAAGGTAGGACAGGAGTTGCCACTGCAGCTTACAGACCCAAGTACACAGTTTTCTATGAGTGGGGCTTTAACTTTTCCACTATCTGGGATGTTGGGTGGCCCTGGAAGGGTCAGCTCTCATAGAAGGGTTGCATTAGCCAGGACGCACAATGGGAGAAACAAATACTCTTATATACAACATGGGTAGATGCACCACTCCCAAAAAACAACCAGAATTTTAGGAAATGTCCTGAATTTTAGATACTTTTGGAACTAACTTTGAAGGCATTGAAGTTTTAAAAAACTGAATAACAGGACAAAAAAAAATATCACTTTGGCTACTGGTGGAGCAGGGATTAACCACAAAACATCTAAATGAAAGAAAAAAAGAACATAGTTAAATTCCAAGACAAGCAAATGTATTTAATGATTTTAATGGGTGTTTAATTCCTAAATTCACATGTGCCCCTATATAATTTCTTCTGATACAGAACAAAAACTGAAAAATTAATCTCAAGTCTTTTAATAAAAAGTAACTCTAGTAACAAAGAGTTAAGTTTAAATTTAGATGTGGATGCTAGGTGACTGGTAAAGCTTATCTGCTATATTTTCATTTGCTGAAATTCTCTGGTTACTTTTCATACCTACCTGTTCTTGTTTCATTTTTACCAGCTTTTTTTTTTTTTTTTTTTAGATTTTATTTCTTTATTCATGAGAGACACAGAGAGAAAGGCGGAGACATAGGTAAAGGGAGAAGCAGGCTCCATGCCGGGAGCCCAATGTGGGACTCAATCCCAGGACTTGGGGATCACACCCTGAGCCAAAGGCAGACTCTCAACCACTGAGCTACCCAGGCATCCCTACCAGTTTTTGTTTCACAAATAATTGCTCTTTATTGATGTTTTTCCTTCATCTTTAATAATATTAAGCCTATTTTATGTTCATTTAAAAAATATTCTGATAGATCCATTTTGTCTGAAGTGATTCATCTGCTGAGCATTTGACTTTGTTGTTTTCTTTGTTAGCATTAATTTTCTTCATAGGTTTTGAGTTTTGGCTTTCAGTTTATCTTCACTGGGAGATCCTCCCTCCCTCTCTGAGCCTTACCCACCACTCTACTCCTCTTTTTCTAGTGATTTTTAAAGTGCCTTCACCTCACTCTGTGGAGAGCCTTGTCCAGAACCAAGCTTTATGATGGGGGCTGAGTTAGGGCTTCTGTCCTTCAGTGACATTGGGAATATCTCCAACTCTGTCACTGAGCCTGATGGCAAGTGAGTTCAGGTTCTGGACACAAGATTTCATATCAGCTGTAGCCCTGGGCAGAGTGTGATGGCAGCATTAAAAAAGATTATTATTTTTAAAAAAGATTTTTTTATTTATTCATGAGAGACACAGAAAGAGAGGCAGAGACTTAGGCAGAGGGAGAAGTAGGCTCCCTGCAGGAGCCCAATGAGAGACTCGATCCCAGGACCCCGGGATAATGACTTGAGCCAAAGGCAGACACTCAGCCACTGAACCACCCAGGTTCCCCTAAAAAAGATTATTTGTAATTTTGAAGTAACTTAGACTGCAGCTTGGAGAGTTTCCAGGTAGGTGAACATGTAGAGATTTGGGGACGTGGCACACTCAGAGATGATGGAAACTCCATACCCTTTCCCTAAACCTTATCCTATGTATCTCTTCCATCTGACTGTTCCTGAGTTGTGTACTTTTATAATAAACGGGATATCTACTAACAAAAAGAAGAAAAAAAGAAAAGAATAGAAAAAAGAAATAACAGACTTATAGAAGAGTTGCAGGTACAGAGAGTTCTCACATGCCCTTCATCTAGCTTCCCCAAATGTTAACATCTTATCTCAGCAAAGTACAATTATCAAAAGTGGAAAATTAGTGTTGTTAGATACTATTAACTAAACCTCCAACTTTATTCATATTTCACAAGTTTTTCTTTAATGTCTTTTTAAAATCTTTTATAATCCAATTCAGAATCACACATTGCATTCAGTGATTTTCTATTTCTATGATCACATTTATGTTCATTAAGAAAGAACCCTTCTCCCTGATTTATTTATCCCTTTGACTATGGACACAGGGATATTTATTTAGTCAATGGATTGTAATCCAATGCAATAGCCACTGGGTAACTTCCAGCCCAGCCCTAATACCACACAGTGGCTGGGCTTCCATATCCCCATCTCACCCCAAGTACTTCTCTTCCCTATTTGCTATAGGAATTTCTATAACTCTTGGCCACCCCTGCTTCTTTCTTGACGTTAGGCCCAGGAGGCCCACTGTTTTTGTTTGAGATAAGTCTAAATATTTAGGGTTCAGTGGTTTAGCGCCACCTTCAGCCCAGGGTGTGATCCTGGAGACCTGGGATGGAATCCCACCTAAGGCTCCCTGCATATGGAGCCTGCTTCTCCCTCTGCCTGTGTCTCTGCCCCCCCCCCACCGTGTCTCTCATGAATAAATAAAATCTTTAAAAAGAAAAAAAGTCTAAATCTTTAGCATAACCTGCAAGGCATTACAGTTGGTTCCTGTACAATTTTCTAGCTGTATCTTTTTCTCCTTCACTTTGTTGTTCTCAATGCTCCAGCCACATGGAACTTTTTCCTGTTCTTTGAAAGCTATATACTCCACCTAGCCTCATGGTCTTTGCCACTTTGGTTCCCTCTGTCTAGAACAGTCATCCTCCCCTCCTTTTTCAGCTGAGACAGAGTGGCATTTTTGGATAATTACTATAATGTTTAATACCTGAACAGTCTAGGGCAGCCCCGGTGGCTCAGCGGTTTAGCGCCACCTTCATCCCAGGGCGTGATCCTGGAGACCCGGGATCGAGTCCCACGTCGGGCTCCCTGCATGGAGCCTGCTTCTCCCTCTGCCTGTGTCTCTGCCTCTCTCTCTCTCCCTCTCTCCCCCCCCTCTCTGTGCCTCCCATGAATAATAATAATTAAAAAATACCTGAACGGTCTCTAACCTAAAAATCCTTTGATCTAAAAGGTAAAGCCTCCAACAGGCATGCCCAACTTTGCCAGTTTTGTAAATTAGGAGTCTCCTTCAAGTGGAATATGTCAGCATCTATGAATTGGACCTCTCCTCGGGTATAAACTATGTCATCTTCTCTAAGGAATGTAACCAAAGCAGAAGAGAATCGGAAAAGGAGGCTACTGTTCACATGAAAGATGAATGTCTTATTGTCAAGTCATTTGACTTTAGAACTGGTAGAAGAAGGGCGCCTCAGTGAGTTAAGTATCTGACTCTTGATTTTGGCTCAGGTCATAATCTCAGGGTTGTGAGATCAAGCCCTACATGGAGCCCTTCATTGGGCTCTATGCTCAGTGGGGAGTCTGCTTGAGATTCTCTTCTCCTTCTCCCTCTGCCCCTCCCCCTGCTCACCTGTGTGCTCTCACTCGCTCTCTCTAGAAACAAACAAGCAAATCTTTAAAAAATAGAACTGATAGAAGAATCAAGAAGATAACAGATGAGGAAGAGCCAGGAGAAATAAAGGAGCATCAAAAGACAGCAGAATTGCCAAATGAGCTCCTGTCACTGGCAGTGTTACATACTGACCAGTGGCTCTTCCTTTTCCAACACAGTCTATGGAAGAAGATTTGGTATGTTGTGAGGGTTCTCAATTTCCTTTGAGTGTGTGAAGGAGGGAGTTAAGTAGATCCAGTCTCCATTTTCAAACATTGGTCAGAGCTGGAAATGGCCCACACTCAGTCACCTCTGCTTTCCCTTACTTTGGTACCATTAGCTTCATAATCTTGTAACTGGCAAAGGGTCAGTGCCTGTCATGAGTTCACACTGTGTTAGCCCAGCCATTGCCTTCTTTCATTTGTCGTCATGGTGGCATCCTTGGTCTGCAGATCTCTATGCCCAGGTGACTCCTGCCAGTGGGGAGGGGTGTAGGGGGTGCCTCCAAGTTCACTCCTTGAGGTTCCAGGTCTCTCATCTCATTTTCAGTGACAGATTCCCATCCTGCTCCACCTCTGTAGTTCTGAGACTTAGTGGAAGGAGGCTGGGATGGAGTTAGACGTCTATACTGCCTGACAGATGCTGACATCTTCCCACTTAAAAGGTGACCCTAGACAGTCACCCTTCTCCATTTCCTGTGCAAAGTCTCAGCCCACAGCAGGCATACCCTGCAGTTGGTATTGATACAGGCCCTCCTCCCTCTGCCATCTCCCCACGGATCACCCCTCAGCCAAGCACCTTCCAGTCAGTCCTGTCAGTCATTGTCTCCCAACTCTGACTCCAGGGTCTCTCCCAGCTTGAAGGGTCTGAGATTCTGAGGCCTTGAGGCTTTCTTTAGTCAGAGCTATTGAGTTTGGGAGCCTCACCCCATACTTTCTCTTGCATCCTACAGAAATCAGGGTGAAATGGCCCACACCTGCCGTGGCACCATCAACCTGTCCACTGCGCACTTTGACACGGAGGACTCTTGTGGTATCGTGCTGACCAGTGGGGCAAGGACCTACCACCTCAAGGCCAGCTCGGAGGTGGAGCGGCAACAGTGGATCACCGCCCTGGAGCTGGCCAAGGCCAAGGCTGTCCGCATGATGAGCAGCCATTCAGGTAGTGAGCACTTGGTGAGCGGGTATACATGCAGTGTCATGGTTCTGGAGAAAGTGGGAATTGAAAGCGTTTGGGGGTGTTGGTGACCAGGAGACCCGGGCTAGTCCAGACCAACCCTGGAAGGTGGAGGTATGTGTTCACCAGTCCCACTCAGCTCCATGTATCCTCAGCAGTGAGAGGCTTAGGTAGTCAAGGTTGGCTGGCAGTTCTGGGGATAGAAATATTTTCAGTGAGCAGGACCGTGTGTGTCTCTCTTTGGACAAGTCTGGTTTCTGGACTTCAGCAGACCCTTCAGATGCTGCAGTGGGTGAGACCCAGAGGCAGCAGCAGGGGTGGGAGTCCAGGATTATGCACCTGTGCCTGGGACCAGACTTTCTCCCAGGCCTATTTTGGAAATTGAAAAGCCAGAGCTGCTGCCTTTGTTGAGGTGGAAGGCCAGCTCTGATATCCTGAGCAAGACATTTAATTATTTACTTTAATACAGTTATTTTCTTAATATGTAATATCTTAATATGATTCATAAAGCAGCAGTTTCCAAAGCACATGCAGTGACGCCTGCCCTGGACTCTTGTTCCCAGCCACCCACCCTGTCATCCCTCCTAGAAGCAACCAGAGCTACCTTGTGTCTTTTACGTATATATTAAAATTGGTACTTATTTTAAAATAAATGCAGTCTTCCACCTTGCTTTCTTTCCATTTAACAATATATCTTGGATTTTTTTTCCCTATCAGTACAAGAAAAGTTTCCTCCTTGTTTTTACAACAGTATAGCACTTTGTTGTATGGATGCATCATAGTTTATTTAACTCAAGGCCTGTTGATGAACATTTAGATTGTTTATTTTGCTATGACACACTGTGTTGAAATGAGTAACCTTGTATTTCATTTCAATTTTGCAGAAATATAAATAAAGTGTATAGTCCAGAAGGCAGGATTGCTGGGTTAACAGGAGTGTGTTCATTTGTAATTCTGAGAGATTGTCAAGCTGTCCTCCATAGGGGTTGTACTACCAGATGCCTGTAGCAGTGTGTGAGAATGCCTGCCTCCCACAGCCTTGTCCACCCAGAGGGATAGCAAATGTTTCTGATGGGTGAAAACTAGGTCCACACACACACAGGGAGGACAGATTGAGAAGCTGTGATTCTTCTGAGGTTAACACAAAATGGTATGTGTTTCCTCAGACCCATGTGGGGTTCTTTTAGGAAGGTAGGGCTCCAGGTATTCTCACAGCCTCTGCTTTCCAGGATTAGCACACAGTCTGGTTGGGGAGACAGTGAATCCCATGGAAGGAGCTCTAGCACAAAGCAGGATGAGGGGTGCTATGATATCAACCGCCATACCCCATCCCTAGTCGGATTGTGTTGGGGTCTCACTCAGTAGTAGCTTCTCAGTGCACACTGAAGGTCATTGAATATAGTCTGATCTTCTCTTTTGGTCTCACACATTTGGAGCATGGATCACCCTGCCCTCCTCCCCCTTGTGACTCTTCCTTGGGGTCAGCACTTGTGTGACTCTTCCTTGGGGTCAATACTTGTGTGACTCTGGTGTGTCAACAGTGATTGCTGAGCTTGGCAATGGGTCCCTAGGATACCACTCCATTTCCTACTGAAGGAGGATGTTGGGGCCATTTCAGGCATGGGATATGGTGAAACCCCCAGTAGAGTCTGTGCTTTCTGTTTGGAGGTCTATGGAAACCTCTGTGGTGAATGTTAACTCAGCTGGGAATTGCTAAGCGTGGACTTCCCTTAGGGGAGGTTGGGACCCCTAAAGAAGTTGCCTCAGGCTCACCTTGCTTCATTTCATACCCCTTGGCATTGTCAGGGGCTGGAGACACAGCACATGTCTTGTGTTCCCCAGGGTTAGCTTGGTAAGGACACAGGATAAACATTCAGGTACAATTCAAGGTAGTACTTGCTATATGTTGATGAGAAATGGTAGGATTCCTGTCCTTTGAGTATTTTGAAATATAAATGAACTAATGTGTGTGAAAGAGAAGCCTTCAGGAAGATACTGTGCTTTTATAGAAAGGCTGATTGTTTCTTGAAAAATAGTTCTTCTTGTGGTAGCGTTCTCTGCAAGGCAACACCCTTCTCCCACTGTTCTCAGGCTGTTGTTGGAGAGTTGTGGTTTGCAACGTTTCACATGGAGTAAGTTTCGGGTAACCCTGAATGAAGGAAGATAGCCTGGTGTGGTTCTCTGACTCTGGCTGATAGTGACCAAGGTAAGTCAAGGGCACAGACAGTACTCCAGAAAGACCCCCTGCACGTCATCCTGCGGCCTATCTGTTCCTTCCTAGACTGTGGACCAAGTCTCATCTAGCAGAAAGCCTACTTCCTACCTCTACCTATTTCTTGAAAACATCTGCTACTCCCCAGCTTTTCTGCCTCCCACCAGTCCAGACACCATCTCCTCTTACCAGGACATCTGCAACAACCTCCTCACTGTCTTCCTGTGAAGTCACTTCTCCAAACCACGGGCAGAATGACATGTTAAAAAATGGGAATTTAATCATATACTGGCACTGCTTAAACTCTTGGGTGCTATAAATCAACTAGACTTAACAGACATATACAGAACACTCACCCAACGTCAGCAGAACACATACATTCTCCTTTTTTTAAAAAAAGATTTTATTTATCTATTCATGAGAGACGCACACATACAGAGAGAGGCAGAGACATAGGCAGAGGGAGAAGCAGGCTCCATGCAGGGAGCCTGATGTGAGACTCGATCCTGGGACCCTGGGATCATGCCCTGAGCCAAAGGCAGATGCTCAACTGCTGAGCCACCCAGGCATCCCCACATACATTGTTCTTAAATGCATGTGGAAAATTCTCCATGATACGCTGTTAGGCCACATAAATCACACAAAGTATCTTTTTTCATGTGAGGTTTTCACAAAAAGTATCTTTTTTTCATTTCACTACAGTGAAATGAAGCTAGAAATCAATTACAGAAGAAACACTAGAAAATTCACCAATATGTATAAATTAAAACACTCTTGAATGACACATGGTTCAAATATAAAATCATAATGGAAATTAGAAAATACTTTGAGTTTAATGAAAATGAAAATACAACATACCAAAACTTATAGGATACAGCAAGAGCAGTGTTCAGAGAGAAATTTATACCTATAAAATATACATTTAAAAAGACAAAATCTCAATAGCCAAACCTTACATCTTAAGAAACTAGATTAAGGAGACTAAACTAAACCAAAGCTACCAGAAGAAAGGAAACAATAAATATAAAGTTGAGATAAATGAAATAGAGAATAGAAAAATAATAGAGAAAAATCAGTGAAACCAAAAAAGTTGGTTCTTTGAAACAATCAACAACATTGGCAGACCTTCCACCAGACTGATTAGGGAAAAAAAAGAGAGAAGACTCCAATTACTAAAATCAGAAATGAAAATGAGGACACTACTACTGATCCTACAGAAATAAAAAGGATTATAAAACAATACAATGAATGATTTTATGCTAACAAATTAGACATCGTAGATAAAATGGACAAATTCCTAGACACACAAATTACCAAAACTGACTAAAGAAGAAATAGAAAATAATAAAGAGATTGAATCAGTCCTAAAAAATCTCCCAACAAGGATAAGTCCAGGACCAGATAGTTTCACTGGTGAATTCTACTAAACATTTTTTAAAAGATTTTTATTTATTTATTCATGAGAGACACAGAAAGAGGCAGAGACATGGGCAGAGAGGGAAGCAGACTCCCTGCAGGAAGCCTGATGTGGGACTTGATCCCAGGACCCCAGGATCACAACCTGAGCCAAAGGCAGACGCTCAACCACTGAGCCATCCAGGTGCTCCTCTACTAAACATTTAAAGAAGAATCAATGCCAATCCTTCTCAAACTGTTCCAAAATATGAAGAGGAGGGAAACACTTTCTAACTTACTCTGGGAGTCTGGCCCCATACCAAAGCCAAACAAAGACATCACAGGAAAAAAAAAAAAAAACAAACTATAGGCCATTATCCCTTATGAATATAGATGTAAAACCCCTCAACACAATATCAGCAAACAAAATCCAACAGCATATCAAAAGGATTATACACCATGACCAAGTGGGATTTATCCCAGGAATGCAAGGGCAGTTCAAAGTAAGAAACCAATCAGTATATTAGACTACATTGATTGAAGGGAAAAAAAACCTCACATGATCATCTCAACTGATGCAGAAAAAGGACAAAATCCAACACCCTTTCATGATAAAAACATCAGCAAACTCAGACTAAAGTGTAACTTCCTCAACGTGATAAAAGACATTTATGAAAAACCCCACAGCTAACATCATATTCAATGGTAAAAAAAAAAAACAAAAAAACCTGAGAGTTTTCCCCTAAGATCAGAAACAAGACAAGGATGTCTATTTTCTTTTTTTTTAATTTTTATTTATTTATGATAGTCACACAGAGAGAGAGAGAGAGAGAGGCAGAGACACAGGCAGAGGGAGAAGCAGGCTCCATGCACCGGGAGCCCGACGTGGGATTCGATCCCGGGTCTCCAGGATCGCGCCCCGGGCCAAAGGCAGGCGCCAAACCGCTGGGCCACCCAGGGATCCCGGATGTCTATTTTCACATGGATATTCTATACTATACTGGAAGTTCTAGACAAGAAAAGGAAACAAAAGGAAAAATTGGAAGGGAAGAAGTAAAACTTCCTATTAGGGGATGACACAATCCTATATATGGAAAATCTCTAAGAATACACACACAAAAAAAACTATTAAATCTAATAAACAAATTCAGCAAAGCTGCACAGCACAAGATCAACAACCCTCACTGGTATTTCTCTGTACTCACAATGAAGAATCCAAAAAAGAAGTGAAGAAAACAATTACGTTTAAATATAATCACAAATAATAAAATACTGAGGAATAAATTTAACCAAGGAGATGAAATCTTCACTGAAAACTGAAAAAAAAAATTATTGAATGAAGTTAAAGAAGACCTAAATAAATGAAAATACATCTGTG